GATAGAAAGAGAAAGCTCAATACAACAGAAAAAAGTCAAACAATAGAAAACAAAGTAAAGTATTTCAGATATTTGTGCTATCTGGCAAAAACTTTAAAATAATTATGATTAACACATTCTAGAAGTCCCAGAAAAAGATGGACAGGATCAGTGAAAAAGTTGATAAATTTCACCAGAGAATATGAATCTATTAAAATAATCAATAGAATTTCTAAAATTGACAAATTAAACATCAGAAATTATGTTCTTTAGGTAGGTTTAAGAGCTGAAAACAGGATTAATGAACTGGATGACAGGTCATTAGAAAATACACTAAATCAGCGGTCCCCAACTTTTTTGGCACCAGGGACCAGTTTCACGGAAGACAATTTTTCCACAGACATGGTGGGGCTGAGGTGGCTATGGCTTCAAAGTGATTCAAGTGCATTGCATTTACTGTGCAGCCAAACCTCTCTGCTAATGATAATCGATATTTGCAGCTGCTCCCCAGTGCTAGCATCACCGCCTCAGCTCCACCTCAGATCATCAGGCATTAGATTCTCATAAAGAATGTGCAACCTGGATCCCTTACATGCACAGCTTACAGTAGTGTCTGTGCTCCTATGAGAATCTAATGCTACCGATCTAACAGGAGGCGGAGCTTATACAGTGATGAGATGGGGAAGTAGTTGTAAATACAGGTGAAGCTTGGCTTGCTTGCTGCCACTCACCTCCTGCTGTGTGGCAGGTCAGGGACTGCAACAGCTCTAAAGCAGAGAGAGAGAGAAAGAAAATGAATGGAAAATCCTGAAAAAAACATTAGAGAAATGAGGGACACACTAAAAAAGTCTAACATAAATATGACCAGATTTCCTGAAGGAAAAAAGAGAAAGAATGGGCCAAAGCAACATTTGAAGAGAACATGTCAAAAAAATTTTCGAAACTAGTGAAAGACATCCATATACAGAGATTGAAAAAACTCCAGGAACCCTAAACAGGATAAACACAAAAATGACTTGTCTAGTCATATCAGAGAAAAATTGCTTAAATATAAAATGATAGTAAAATCTCAAAGGAAACCAAAAGGGGATAAACACATATGATCAAAAGAGCAATGCTAAGACTATCAGTTGACTTCTTAATAGAAATAACAGAAGCCATAAAACAACATGATAAAGCGCTCAAACAACTGCCAGGATAAAATCCTATACCCTGTGTTTGTGTGTTTGTGTGTGCATGTGTCACAGACTTTCACAACGCTGCATTGGTTCCACGACAGAACTCATATTTGAAAACAACACATTTTTTGGACCCATCTGTGGTTTCACAAAAATTGCTCTAAAAAAATTTGAAAGATAAACACAAGCCAAAATGTGCGTTTGGAAGACTGAGGAGGTACCTTCACAATAAATATAAAACTAGAAGTGTCAGAGTGAAATGTCAGAGATGTCAACTGTCATGCTTAGTACTTAAGGAAATTGGACAATTTATATTTAATAACCTAATATAAATGTTAGCGTACTTACTGTACAGCAATGGAAATGAAGGAAATCTTACTGTACTTGCCGCTTTCAAACTCGTGAATGAAAGTGACCAACACAATGTTTAGCACCAGCATGGTGTTTATCTAAAGAGTAGACATACTAGAACATGTAATATATGATACCTATCACATAAAATTCAAAAACAGACACATTAACTATAGTGTTAAAAGCGGGGATATAGTTAATTTGAGGAGTAGTGATTAGGGAAGGGCACAGAAAGGGCTGGGGCAGAAATGGCAATGTTCTACTTCATGATTTAGAGGCTGGTCAAACAAGTATGTTCACTTTCTAAAAATTCATGAAGCTGTACACTTAATGTTCTGTGCACATTTTCTATGTGTATATTGGACTTCAATATAAAGGTTACTTAAAATTAATAAAAATAGTACTAGTCTTCAGGCAAGCAAAGCTTCATTCCAATATCAAAGCATTCTGTTTATCCATCAGTATGCAAACCAAGTGTATTGGTTTGCTGGGGCTGCTGTAATAAAGTATCATAGACAGGGTGGCTTCCACGTGAAAACTTATGTTCTCACAATTCTAGAGGCTAGAAGTTCAAGATCAAGGTGTGGGCAAGGTTGGTTTTACCCTGAGGTCTCTCTCCTTGGCTTATAGATAACCATCTTTTCCCTGTGTCTTCCCATGGTCTTTCCTCTGTGTCTGTCTGTGTCCTGATCCCCTCTTTTTATAAGGACACAAGTCATATTAGATTAGGGCCCACTCGCATGACCTCAATTTACTTTAATTTCCTCTTTGGATACCCTGTCTTCACATACAGTCACACTTCGAGGTACTTGGGGTTAGAACTTGAACATATAAATTTTGGAGGTGGAGACACAATTCAGCCCATAATACAAAAAGAAAAGGTAAAATGCTAACAGAGTTTTGACACAAAGATGTGACAATGGTGTGGAAGAAACTATATCAAAAAAGTGGATTAAACTGCAGGTAACATGGTAAACCCAAGGCAATGTGAGCATACATGGCAGATGTCAGTGTTATTCTATGGACTTCCCAACATAAGAAGAAAAATATTGAGACTGAACAGGCAGAGAAGCACTAGACTGTGGTTGGCTCCCATGTTAAATCTTCATTGTGCCTGTTGTTACTTCTCCTGGGAAATCATTCGGTGGAAAAAAATTAGCAAAGTAATTGCTTCATCTTGGCGCATTTGTGAAATCCCTCAGGGAAATGGAGCCAACATACAAATATTACAAATTCTTCCTGCATTATTGACCAGAAAAGCCATTGATATTTTTTGTAAGGACAGTTCTTCACCCATAGGTAGATAGGTTTCATTTTTCTGCTTGTGTTCATAATACTGAAAACACTATTTGTTTCCACAATCATGTATATTATCAGAATTAGATTTATGATTGTGATGATTAAATGACTAGGTGAAAGGAAGAATGTCAGTTACCAGAAAAGTGTAGACATTTAGTATTTAAGGAAATTTTACTTACAAAAGTGGGTGAGTAATGAGGATGGAAGATAGGGGGATGAAATATATTGAGTGGCTTGCTCCGTGTAATTCTCAAAATAGCTCTGTGAATTTATTAATTCCATTTAGTGATAGAAAAAAATTTTAGCCTAGAATTATTAAGAAATATGACCCAGATTACTCAGATCAGAAGTACAGATGTCAGAATGTGAATTTAACAGTTACCTCCAAAGCACATATTTTTTGCCAGTACACTTTACTGTCCATAAAGACTTCCCTCATGTATTAAACTTGAGAGAAATGTTATTATCTGTATCTATTACAGGCAGAATGCCATTGAGTTGGCTTAAAGGTCAAATGAGTTAATATTTATAAAACAATTAGATTAGAGTTTGGCATATGAGACACATTATTTGTCTGTTAAATAAATAAGTGAATGATAAAACAGGAACTCAGAGTAAGGAAAGTGCCCAATGAGTAGAACAGCATCTCAGACATATCTAAGTACAGGTCCTATGAAGTGATTTTATGCTAAGACTATTGTAGTTTTATTGAGGTATTAATCTGTTTTTTTGGTCTTGTCCTAAAAATGAAGAATGTCCAATTGTAGGTTACATTTATCAGACACAGAAGTGTGTGCACTTAAAATATGTGAATTTCACTGTATATAAATTTTATCTTAAAAAAGAACAGTAAACAAGGAAACATAGGTTAAAAGTGAAGGGAGCTTAAAATGTAAGAAATAACAGGGGTAAATCACTACTATGGTTGAATAGAGAACCTATTTACTTGATGCTGTATAAATCACAAATTAAACCTTTGTTTCAGGTATTCATAGTCAAAGAACAGCCTTCTATAGGATGTTCTTGTAAATATAAATGGTCTCCATATAGAAAAATAGAAATGTACATTTTAGTTAGTATCAGTTTTGTCAGTTTTTTCCTTGTTGCAAGCAACAGAAGACAGTTCTGGCCATTCTACACAAAAAGGAACATTCTGGAAGGATATTGTGGTCTCCCACGTCAATGTGCAGCTAGAAGACCAGACTTAGAGAACAGATAGCAACCTAGGGAGACCTGGAGCCTTAGCAGATCAAACCACATAGGGCCACTGTTCCTTTGCAGCCTTGGTCTGGTCGTTAAGCCTCGCTGTAATCAATTTAATGAAAAAATATTTTGTCCACCTTGAATGTCTAACTCACTTAAGATAACCAGGGGCGAGCATCTGATCCATGCCTAGTCCTATCTAAACCAAGGATCTGTTCCCTCAGTGGAAACCAGAAGTGGGAGACCAAGAGGAGAGAATTTCCATCAGTCTCAACTCCAGGCAATGGGAAATTTCCTCCAGAAGAATTCTAATAAGGTGTTAATGGCTGCAGAATGTAAAAGCTAGACAACCCTCCAACTGCAAATATGTACACATTTTTTTTTTTAAAAGAAAAAAACATTTCTTTGTGGAGTAGGAAAGCAACACGCTAGCCCAGCTTGATTACTCAGGTTTCTCCAGCAGGAAATTGCATTGGTGAAAACTTCAAAAATAACACAAAGTCATTTGGACAAATATTGCCCTTTGATAGCTTGTACTTATCTGTCTCTAAACCCATTCTTTGTTGCCATTATAATCAGGGTAAAGGAATTGTTCAGTCCTAAAGGTTATATTTTGGGGCAGGCAAACCTGTAAAGCACATTTCTCAAATAAAAGGCAGGAGCAGAGGAAGATAGGAGGAGAAAGTGGTGAAGGAAAAAAAGGAATGAAAGCTGAATTAGAAGGGCATGGAAAGGAAGAGGAGGAAAATAAAACAAGAAAAATAGAGGGCTGAATCATAAAAGGCAGAGAGCTACTTGGAATATCCCTGTGTTCTAACACTTGACTGTTACTGAATTTACCAAGCATGAAAATCAGTAGAAATGGAGTGAGGATAACTGCTGACAAAGGGGGAAAGATTTAGTAACAAGATCATTACTGTAATGATAATATATATTTTTTCATTTTACTCCAATCCAATATAAAGTTCGCTTCTCCCATTGAAGGAAATCATGAGAAGAAACTTCACCTCGGTGACAGAGTTCATTCTCCTAGGATTGACCAATCGCCTGGAATTGCAGATTTTCTTCTTCGTGCTGTTTCTGGCAGTTTACATGGTCACGGTGGCAGGGAACCTTGGCATGATTGTCCTCATCCAGGTCAATGCCCGGCTCCACACACCCATGTACTTTTTCCTGAGCCACTTATCCTTTACAGATCTGTGCTTCTCTTCCAATGTGACCCCAAAGATGCTGGAGATTTTCCTTTCAGAGAAGAAAACCATTTCCTATCCTGCTTGTCTGGTGCAGTGCTACCTTTTCATTGCCTTGGCGCATGTTGAAATGTATATCCTGGCTGTGATGGCCTTTGATCGGTACATGGCCATCTGCAACCCTCTGCTTTATGGCAGCAAAATGTCCAAGAGTGTGTGCACATCCCTCATCACGGTGCCTTATGTGTATGGAGCACTCACTGGCCTGATGGAGACCATGTGGACCTACAACCTAGCCTTCTGTGGCCCTGACAAAATTAACCACTTCTACTGTGCTGACCCACCACTGATTAAGCTGGCTTGTTCTGACACCCACAACAAAGAAACTTCAATGTTTGTTGTGGCTGGATGCAACCTCTCATTTTCTCTCTTCATCATTCTTATTTCCTACCTTTATATTTTTTCTGCTATCTTGAGAATCCATTCCACAGAAGGCAGACGCAAAGCTTTCTCTACCTGTGGCTCCCATCTGACAGCTGTCACTATATTCTATACAACTCTTTTTATCATGTATCTCAGACCCCCCTCAAGCGAATCTGTGGAGCAGGGAAAAATGGTTGCTGTATTTTACACCACAGTAATCCCTATGTTTAACCCCATGATTTATAGCCTTAGAAATAAAGATGTAAAAGAAGCATTAATCAAAGAGCTATCATTGAAAAAATAATTTTCCTAAAAAAAAAATCACTATTATTTTGGTTACAAAGCTTTCCTAGACATTTTTCTTATGTTGTAGGACAGAATAGATGGTGAAATGAGAAATATGGTACATTGACAGAGAACACTGTAGTTTTTAAAACTAATTATTTTCTAAATTCCAAGCATGTAAAATTTTGATTAAAAAAGTTTTTGTGTTTGTAGCTGTCATTAACTAAACAATCATCTTGTTTGCCAGTTATTTTAAGTTCTTTGTCTTTTGTGCACAGAATGACTTTACACTTCTACCCCTTGGATTTAGGTAGGAGCCCGTGGCTATTTAAGGAAAGTGAGATTAGAATTCATATATGTCACTTCTCTGCTGAGCATTTAATTGCTTGTGAGAGCACTCTTTAGTGGGTATATTTTTTCCCTTTGTTTGGTCAGCAAGAACATTATTAATAATATTGTTATCATTTAGAAGAGGCTATTTTGTGTTGTGGAAATAAGCAAACTCAACAATTCCTAGTAGCTTATCAAAATAAAGTTATGTATCAGCCATTCTACATTTCCATTTTGAGTTGGCCGAGGACTCTGTTCCATGTCACCTGTCTGAGCAACCATCATTACATGTTGGATGATTTTTCAATTATAACATTGTTATATAAATCAAAGAAAACTGCAAAAAGCATTAGTGACATCGATTTCATGGGGGTTATTGGGAATATCAAATATTATTTCCTAATTTTGAGGCAAGTATGCTCTGAGTTCCATTTTGGACTTTATTTTAGGAGTTTTCTAAACATGGGAAGTGTGATAGAAACAATAAGTTAAATATGTTTGTCATTAATTTATTCAACATATACTTACTGATTGTTGTCTGTGTCAAGCACTGTCATTGTCCTTGGTAGTCATCAGTTTCCCTGTGACATTCCATGTGTTTTGTTGTTTTTTTTTGGAAATTAATTACTTATACCTAGTATAATTTATTTACATATCTTAGACATACCAGCAACATGCAAATTCCTTTAGAGGAGGGATATATTTTAATATTTTTATTATGCAGGTTAAACAGCATTTAGCTTTGTACTTAGTAAATATTCTTATATGAACTTGTTGAAGGACAAACAATGTAGGAAATATGGTAGTGTTCTATATTTGGTGAGGACCATTATCTGAATTCAGTTTCATGAGAAGTTAAGTGTCCCCAGGGTATTTTAGATTTGGTCTTCAGTATTGTCTAAAGTACCATGGTAGCGTTCATAACAGACAATTACATTGCACTTCAGTAGCATAAGATATGGCGTTTTCTCCTATATGTTGATTCAAGATAGTACAGCACCACCAATTAGCATTTCTCCTTCAGAGGATGTTCTCCACTGGGATTCTACTTCCAATTGCTTCTTTTGACACATTTGGGAATCCTCCTCAGATAAATGCTGGTGTCAATATTGGGGGTATAAATAAATCATCCAGCACTGGCCAGAATTTGACCTTTAGCATCATCACAAAGACACCTGTATTTTCAAAGGTAGGAGAGGAAATGTGCTTGTATGTTATTAATAGTTTTCAGTATGTAGTAATTTATGTGTTCTCTTCATTAAATTGTGCAAATTTTAAATAGTGATGTGTTGAAATAAGTAGTTCGGGGGAAAATTTGTACAGACGATGCATTTGCATGGAAGAAAATCTGTAGGATGCTTACTTAGCTCTGTCTTTCACTTTTATGATATTTTAGTATAATTCTGTATTATAGATATTCCAGCAGATGTGTTCACTACTATCAGTTTCAAATAATATTCATTTTGTATTTCCCATTTTCCTAATGTCTTGGTGTATAGTGTTACCAATCTCCACAAGAAAAAGACAAATTGGAAATAATTTAGGTCTGGGTAACTTAATTAGTCATTTAAAATTTTTCTGACCTATAGGAAGTAAAGTGAATGCTCAACCAGGCTTTTCCTTGTGACTCTTAAACATATGGGGAAATTGTTCCTTAGCTTCAGTATGTGGAGCTAAGAAACCTAAATGAGCAGATCTCTAAGCCCTTGGTGGTTCTTTTATTTTGTAAGATTATGGATTCTTTCCCAATGACCTATTTCTGTCTAGAACCTGGTTCTTGTGCTCCAGAGAAACTTTATTTTTCTTATTTCATAGCATTAGCATTTTTTATTTATTATTATTATTATTATTATTATTTTCAGCATATTATGGGGGTACAAATGTTTAGGTTACATATATTACATTTGCACCACCCAAGTCAGAGTTGCAAGTGTGTCCATTCCCCAGATGGTGTGCACCGCACACATTAGGTGTGTACTTACCCATCCCCGCCTCCCACCTTGCACCTACCTGTTACTACTGTATGTGCACGTAAGTGTTGATCAATTAATACCCAGTTTGATGGTGAGTACATGTGGAGCTTGTTTTTCCATTCTTGGGATACTTCACTTAGTAGAATGGGTTCTAGCTAGCTCTATCCAGGGTAATACAAGAGGTGCTAGATCACTGTTGGTTTTTGTGACTGAGTAGAACTCCATGGTACATATACCACATTTTATTAATCCACTCATGTACTGATGAGCACTTGGGTAATTATTTGATTTCATTTTTTCCAACTAAGATTCTTGAGATATGAATTAATCTACTCATAATCAAATAACTAAATTGGGCCAGGGACCTGAAAACAGTAAGTTGATGAAGATAATTCTGTTTTGATAGGTTGCACATATAGCATCAGACTCATTCTTGGTTCATCATCAAATTTACAGGTTGCATTTGAACACCTTGCTGCGACTGTTTCTTGTCTCTCAGCAGTAGTGTGAAAAATTTCCCATTGCCCATATATCTGTATGTTAGTTGTCTCTGTTTGCCATAGTCTCACGATTCTATAATTCAAATATGGCTAGTGATAATGGTTTCCACTAAAAGGGATGCATGTCTAGATGACCAGTTGGACCTGAGCAAGTTTGCAAAGCTTCTTAGAGACTCACTCAATACAAAAATACAGATGATGGACCAAAGAAGTTGCTCATTAGCTAAGAGTTAAAAGAAGAGCTTGTCTTCCTTCTTGCCAATTAATTACAATTCCTAGGTGTTATCCTAGATTCTTGGCTCAAATTTCTTCATATGCTTTACAGTCAAGGCATGGATACCTAGGCTGCCTGTCTTTCTTCTTCCTCCTCCATCTCTTCTCATTGGTAGAATGTCTGTATCTATCATCTGTACTTTCAAGAAAACTCTAACTCCAGATCCTCTTTTATTCATATTTGGTTACTCCAGAAGCCCATAGCGACAATCATCGGGGCAGGATAGGGAGGCAACAGTGTTAGATCATTGAATCTTAACACTTTTGGCAACAGTTATTATTCAAATGAAGGAAGAGATTGGCTTTCCAGGGAAAGTAGAATATTACAGAAGAAGATTGCCGCACTGAGAAGTATATGATCCCTCTCCTCATTCTTCTGCTCCTGAACTGTGAGGTGGGGTCATAATGTTAAATTTTCTGAGCTTGGTTATTCACATAACTAAACCTTTTGCTTCTATCTTGTCCACTGCCCTATGTTTAGCATTCATCACTCTGTCTAGAACTTGAAAGATACCCAATAATTACTTGCTATAAGCATGGTGTAAATAAATTAATGAATGGCTTACAAGGTTTTACAAAGTGACTTAACGTGTTTTCTGAATTATAAAATTTCATGTTAATAAGATCTGAATAATTGTTCAAAGACTTCGTACTATTTAATAGCTAATATGTCTCCAATATTCTTAGGGTAGGTGAAAAATGAAGTGCTATTCCCA